AAAAAAAAAAAAAAAAAAACACAAAACAGCAGAAACCGTACCTGTCTTATTCTATTACCTGATGTAAAAACCTAATGTTAACAACCAAACTTTAGTGGGATCTGACAAGATGGCTGGGCTGCCCACAGGATCACCAAGGAAACCCAGCGTTCGCTGGCAGAACCAGATGAGAGCAACGCCATTATTTCCATGTGGTCACTGCTGGCCCCCAGGATTCCCCCTTTGAGGGAGGGACTTTTAAACTCTAACTATTCCTTCCAGAAGAATACCCAATGGCAACCTCTACAATACATTTCTTGACCAAAATTTATCATCCTAATGTAGACCAGTTGGGAAGAATATGTTTAGATATTTTGAAAGCTAGTGGTCCCCAGCACTGCGGATCTGCACAATTCTGTCAATCCAGGCTTGGTTAAGTGCTCCCAATCCAGACGATCGATTTGCACATGAGCAGAGCAGTGGAAGACCAACGACGCCCAAGCCATAGAAACAGCTCGAGCATGGACTAGACTATACGCTATGGATAATATTTAAATCGATCTGATCATCAAGAGTGCATCACTTCTCCTGCTCTGCCAAGACTTTTTCTTTTTTTGTTTTCATGTAATGGACAGTCTTAGAAACATAGAATAAAAACCCAGGCATCTTCAGTCCTTTGGTGATTAAATGCACATTAGCAAATCTATGTCTTGTCCTGATTCACTGTTGTAAAGCATGAGCAGAGGCTAGAAGTATCATCTGGATTGTTGTGAAATGTTTAAAAGCAGTGGCCCCCTGCAGCTTTTATTCATTTCCCCCGTCATGGCTTAAGTATAAAGGACTGTGAATGAAGGTAGTTGTCAAGGTTAGCTGCAGGGGTGTGGGTGATTTCTTTTTTATTTTATTTTATTTGAAGGGGGAGGCGGTTTTATTTCAATTTTATGGGATTCTTTCCCCATTTTATGGTGATCTAAGCACATTGGTTAAAAGCAGCTAACTAGGGAACCAGCAGTTAGCGTAATGGCTATGTTGCTGGATTCCCACATAGTCAACCGCGGTTCACATCCCGGACCCGGTGGCTTAGAACTCACGCTGGGTGCGTGTGCGTGCGTGCCCAAGATCCCGAGAGGAGAGTGGAGGAGAAGGGATTGCAGCGTGACCATCCCCCCTGGGGGGTGATTTCTCGCTTTCTGTCTCTATGTCTCTGTCTGTCTGGAGAGCGCACGCGCCCTATAGCGAAAACCTCTCAAAAAAAAAAAAAAAAAAAAAAAAAAAAGCAGCTAACTATTTCTTTAGTATATACACTCTAGCCAAGTCTAACTATTTAGACACTGTAGATGGACAAGCTTGATGGTTTGAACCAAAATGGGAACATTAAGCAAACGTCACAGCCCTCACTCTCCTCTCTTGCCAAAAAAATCCTATAAATCTTAAAATTACTACTTAAAAAGTTATGGATTAAAGTTGACTCATTCATATGGACCCAACATGACTAGACCCACATGGGAAAGGACCTAGATTTGTGTTGCAGGACTTCTGGAGTGTGGCGGGCACTGCATACGGAAGCCATCTTGAGCTATCCACCATCTTGGAAACCATGAGGCTTCACTTCCTCACTGAGCAAACTGTTTCTCAGAAATCATGTGACCAACCATTCTCCCTGGAAGTGGTTGGGTTTTTAGGCAATGGGAGAGATCCACCCACACCAATGACTGGTTTATGCTGTTCTATCTCATTTGCATTTCAAGCAACCAATTGGTGCCCACCAGCTGTATATAACTCGCCATTTTTCCTCAATAAATGAAAGATGGAGGAAGAAGAAGACTTAATCAACATCTCGTATTGTGTGTGTGTGTGTTTGTCCCATCTCTCACTCCCTCCCCCAGGGAACCTGTTCAAGTGTCCCACGGGTCGGGGCACTGGAGCACACAGGGTACATCCACACCCATGATCCAGGCTACCTGAGGCTGAGGGTGGACTGAAGCATGGAGATCCTATTGGGACTAACCAGTCTCCTCATTGCCTCTACCTCAAAGAAGAAATAAATAAATTTTTTTAAAAATGTGGAGACCGGTATGTGCAATAGAATGCTCATTGCAATATTAATATGAAAGTATCAGGAAAAATTTAGATGTATAATAAGAAGTAATTACCTGCATATGGCATCACCATCAAACAAAACATTAGTATTAAAACCTGACACGAGGGGGCCAGATGGCATAGCAGTTAGGTTACTGGACCCCCACATGGCTGACTACGGTGCAAGTCCCAGACCAGTGGCTTGAAACTCACTCCAGGTGCATGTGTGTGTACCCAAGATCCCAGGAGGAGAATGGAGAAGGGACTGCAGCATGGCCATCCCCCTCTGGGTGGCTCTCTCTCTCTCTCTCTCTCTCTCTCATTCTCTCTCATTGAGTGCATGCACCCTAAGGTAAAAATCTCTAAAGAAAAAATTGACATGAGTTTTTTAAAGTTAGAAGAAACTCCATTAAAGTATTACTAGCAATTTTCTCTAGATGGTAAATTTGGAGCATTTTAAGTTTATCCTTACAACTTATATTGTCTATAAAGTTTACTCCATTTTTTTTTTAAAGTAAAGCAGATAGCATAATGGTTACATTGCTGGACTCCCACGTAGTCAAATGCATTTTGAGTCCCAGACCTGGCAGCTTGAAACTCATGCTAAGCACGGCACATGTGCGTGCATGCAAGTCCAAAATCCTGAGTGGAGAATGGAGGAGAAGGAATTGCAGCTTGGCCATCCCCCTGTGTGATGATTTCTCACTTTCTCTCTCTCTGTCTCTCCAGTGATCATATGTGCCCTTATAGCAAAACAAAACAAAACAAAACAAAACAAAAACCTCTTTTTCTAAAAAAAAAAAAAAAAAGCAATGCATGTTTTCAAAGAAAAATATATCCTAGGCACTTTCAGCAATTTCCATCTTCCACTCAACTTCCATCACACTACCAAATTGACTCAATATAAACCAACATATGCTTTACTGCTTTTGCCTTTCACGGAGCCCTGGCCCCCTAGGCTTTGTCAGTCATTAACTACACATGAGTTTGCATAAGCACCTGCTTTGTGAGAGCCACCGGAGGGGCTACACAAGACTCATTGTATGATTACAGTGTTTAAACGGCTTAAAGTCTGTTTTGGAGGTTAAAACCCAAAGAGACTGCCCATAGACCAATACTGAATGAAATAGGATAAAGGTAAGTAGATCACAAAAGAAATGAGCAGAAACTTAGACCACAGTCATCCAGGAAGACCTCCAAAGAGGAGGTGGAATATCTGACCCCTGTAGAGAAGCAGCAGAAACTGAGAAGGGAGATAATCATCACCAAGTGCCGAAAGCAGGGAAACCCATGCATGGGAGAACAGGGCACCAGGACTGGCAAGTTACCACTGGTGTCCCCGACGACTCAGGAGGGGACAATGGGGGTGGCAGCAGGCAGCAGAGGGAACTGAATGTCCAAGATAAAGGGCATGGGCTTAGCCCAGCAACAAAGAAAAGGCAAGTCCTTACATTGAACGGATCGCTGAAAACGAGGTTTTACAAAGATTAATATAGTAAAAGCATTCATCAAGAGGGCTGGCTCCCTGGCCTGGTGGTTAAGGCCACTCATGGCTGACTGTGTGTTTCGAGTCCCAGACCCGATGGCTTGAGAAATACTGGGTGTGCGTGTGTGTGTGTGTGCGTGCCCCAAACCCAAAGGTAGGGAGAGATTGAGGAGAGGGGATTATGTGACCATTCTTCAGGGGAGGGTGCTTTCTCCTCTCCATCTCTCTGGTGAGCACACACGTCCCCCCCCCACACACACACACCATTATTCATCATGAATTGTAGGTAGAAAGTACCTGAAAAGACGAAAACTAGCACAATTCATTTTATGCAGTCCAGGAGGTGGTGATGAGGGCCTACCAGAGTGGTAACAGTGGGATGAGAAATAAAAGAGCAACTGAAAGACATTGATGGGGGAGCAGACAGGGAGAACAAAGGGAAATGGAATCACTATGCCCAAGGATTAAGCTTTTAGTGTCATTAACACAAACAGAAGGACATCCATCACCTATGGATTTTGAGGTTAGTTTTATTTTATCTTCTCTTATTTTTGCCAGCAGGCTCACGCACTTGTCAGAGAGAAAAAGAGGGGAAATCCATTCTCCCAACAGGGCATGGTCATGCCACAATCCTTTTTCCTCCATTTCTCCTTCCCATCAGGATTTTGGGGGCACGCACACACACACACGCCTGGTGTATTCTTCAAGACATTGGGTCGGGATTCAAACCACAGCCAGCCATGTGGGATCTGGCTCACAATACACAGTGCTTAACTACTGCAGTATGGGGCCAGCCCTCAAAGTCAGTTTCAGACACACTGGGTCTGGGAGACAAGGATATTTGTGGGTAATGACACCCACACGCAGGGACTCCGGTGTTACAATAGTCTTGGTTTATACCTATCCTTCTCAAAAATGGCCATAAATTATGAGGTGCTCAGCCTCTAGGAAACTGGAAAAAAATCTGGAAACAGAAAGCAAGAGATGAAGACACTAATCTGTGAGGAACGGGTCCAAATATGGTATTATAAAACATAAGATTGGATGATTACAGTTAGAAGCAACAAGGAGAAATGAACCAATGTCCAAGAACTGAGTGTGAAGAGCAGCCAGAGTTAGTAAAAAAGGAGGCAATCGGGAACCAGCAGTTAGCGTAATGGCTATGTCGCTGGACTCCCACGTAGTCAACCGTGGTTCACATCCCGGACCCGGTGGCTTAGAACTCACGCCAGGTGCGTGTGCGTGCGTGCCCAAGATCCCGGGAGGAGAATGGAGGAGAAGGGACTGTGGCGTGACCATCCCCCTTGGGGGGTGACTTCTCGCTTTGAGGCAATCCAGGCGGTAAATGAGAAGAGTAGTGTACTGTGGGACAGAAGAGGGCAGGACAACAAGCAGCGGGCTTGTATATACTGGGTCATTGGAAAAGTCATGATGTATTTTTCTACGTTTTTCTACACAAAAATGCATCATGACTTTTCCAATGATGCAGTATTTTTTGAAAATAGAACCAAGAATATTGCTGAAGGGCTGGAGGGAGAGTGTGAGGGAAAGAGAAGTATAGGGAAATACTCCAGAATTTTTTGCCATAAGCAACAGTTGGAAAGACGGAGCTGCCCTTATGGAGAAAATCAGCTTTTCAGTGGTCACAGGAGAGGCATCAGGTGCTCAGTTTCAGACATGAAGTGTTTGGGATGCCGTTTACACATCCGAGTGAAGAGGTCAAGCTGCAAGTGAGGAGTGCAAGTCTGGGGCTCTGGGGCCCATAAACCATGGGCAAAACATACCGACTAACCCAACCAGCATCACCCATGGCTTGGTGAACTGCTCACTCGGAAAACAAGTAAGGCTTATGGACATGTGTTTGGCAACAGCCTCTCTAGTCTCAGGGAGCCTCCTCCCTAGAAAGACAAAACACAAAGACATCCCACACCAGCCCCGAGAACTTA